GAGGGCTAACAATCGAATATTTCATCCGTAAGGGAAATTTACCAGTTGATACTGTCTTATTTAATATACAACATAACTGGGAAGAAATGTATGGGTACTTATTTTTAGCATCTTTGATGAAATCTCATCGTATCCAGAAGAGTTTTTGGAAGGTAAAGAAGAGATAACTTTTTCAATTTCCTTCGTTGTTATGTTATTGAAAATGATTTTAGGAAAAGGGCCCTTAGCAGCCAGGTTCAAATAATATTTGTATTTGTTGTTTGAATCAGTATCAGAGGTAAATTGGCTAGAAATTTTTCTAGTAATATTATCAGCAACATTTAAAAAATAATTATTAAAATTACTTGAGTTAATTTGGACTATATTGCAGATTTTACCCTTTGAACAATCTTTACCCAATTCTGCCCTTATAATGTTCCAAGTGGTTTTGGCAACATTATTAGAGTTGGTAATTTTGTCCTCATTGCTAAGTCTTTTTGCCTCATTTATTACCTTAGTTAAAATCTTGCAGTATGATTTATAATACTGCTTTAGATTTTCATTGTCATGAAATTTTGCCAAAAGATATAATTCTCTTTTCCTTCTGCAGGAAGTTTTTATTCCATTGGTTAACCATTGTTTGGAGGAAAAATGTTCGTAAATTTTCTTTCTGGGAAAGCAAGCATTAAATATCTGCAAATATACATCTACAAAATTATTAAACATGCTATCTATATTATTTATTGTCCTCAGCATTAAATACGGTTTCCCAAGCCTCAGAACTTAAACTTAGTTTGAAATCATCTAGTGAACAGTTGTTAAATGTCCGGACAATTTTTAAATTAAGGTTTGTCCTTTCCCTACTGATCTCTTTTTGATGTACAAACAAAAGTTGTCCATCATGATCAGATAGACCATTAAATACTGGAGAGATCAAATAGTTTTCAAACTTAGTTATATCTATAAAGATATTATCAATCAGTGTTTGAGTAGTGGTGCAAGTCCTGGTTGGAAATTAAACCACGCTACTTAAGTTAAAAGACTGCAGTATGTAGTTTAATTGTTGCTTCATTTTATTATCTTCTAGATAATTTATATTAAAGTCACCACAGACTATCATTAACTACACAGAGTAGAGCCTTTCTTGAGAAACTATTAGCTGCTCAGATAGGCCAAAAATGCCCCATATTTTATGTAGCCTGAAGGTTTATTACTTGTTCACTGTAACATGTCACGCTGCCATATCTTAGGCACTTTGGCACTTTGGCCCTGGCTTCCAACCATGGTCATCTAGATTTGTTTTCATGTTAGATGGAGTGGAATTTTTTTATATATAAAGTACCAGGGTGAGCTTTCTTGAAGTAATTTGATTTCCACTGCCAATTGTCATCTTCCAAGTGCTCCAGATTCATTAATCATTCTATTATTTATGCTATAGTCTCAATACTGACCTTCAGTAAATACAGCAAAACATGTCTTAAACGGAATCTCAAGGGACCAGAAAAAATTTCTGCTGAAGCCAGGTTTCCGTTTAATCAAGGTATATTATATATAATAACTAAACCAGGAAATAAACGTATTTGAGACAAAACAAAACAACATGCTCATTAATTTATTCACACTATAATCATTGAACACATGCAAACATTACACTGAACAGGAAAAAATTGCAGTACTCACTTTTTTTAATTTTACCAGAACTCCGGCAGAGTTTTTTGCATGCACTTTATTCTCTTAGCTGCCTGACTTTCCACAAACCCCTTAGCTTGAGAAATTAGAGTAAGCATGTCTGAATCATTCCATTGCACGGCAAACTCCTGCAGTACCTTTAAACTTCTGGCAGCATCCTGATAAGTCTTCACTCTACACTTTTCTTCTTCTATCACAATGTCATTTTCCTCTTCCTCCTCCTCCTCTCTTCCTTTTCGATTTTCTCTAAAATGTTCAATACATCGATCTATAATTTTCTTTTATTTCTTAGTACGAGAGGACCAGACGTTTGGAATAATTTTCTTGTTTTGAGGTTTATTAATTTACTATTTTGGCAGATAAGTGCGGTGGATTTAGAATCTATTTATGTGTTTTTGTTAGCGCAGGTAGTGAGATGGGGGTTTTTTTTCTGGTGGTTGTGTTTCTTTTGTTGATTATTCTTGTTCTTGTTGGGGTCGCTTTTTTAGTTCTTCTTGAGCGTAAGGTTCTTGGTTATGTTCATATTCGTAAGGGCCCCAACAGGGTTGGTTTTGTAACTTTATTCTCTTATTGTAATCAGCCAATGTACAGTAACTGACTTGTCCTATATCATGTAACAATGATCTATAGAGACGAAATAAATACATACATACATACATCTATTGTGTCTGGTTCTGTTTGCACATCTTTGTCTATGGTGATGTAGTCCTCAGCATTGCAGTTACTGAAAGCTGCTTCATTCATGCAATGTTGTAAGTCCTTCTGGTCATTCTCATTTTCTACACTAGCAGTAACTTCTACCGTAGAAAATCCTGCTTTTTCGAAACACTTTGTCACAGTTTCTGGTAAAAACTTTTTTACTGCTTGACTTATCCAAATAACCGCTTCTAGAACCGAGACAGTTCTTGCAAGATCAGAGGCGGATGATGTAGAATCTATATTGATGAGCAAAAATTGCATTAATAATTTACGATAGTGGACCTTAACATTCCGAATGATGCCCTGATCCATTGGTTGAGAAACACTAGTGGTGTTTGAGGGAACCAAGCAAGTCGCACATTGGAAAGTTCGATATGTTGCGTTATCCAAGAACAACAAAACATGCCGGTTTTGCATTTTCATTCTACCATCGAAGGCCGTTAACTATTCCTCCATGATCTGCGACGTCATCCATGGCTTTTTCGTTGGATCTCCACTAACGGGAAGTTTCTGTATGTCCATGTTTCGGAAGCATCGTGGCCTTGCTGCCTTGCCGATCACTAAGGTTTTCTCCATTTCACCTGACATAAAACCACATAGAAAAACAGTCAATCTTACCCTGCACAGTTTTCCTCCCAAATATTTTTCACCTTTCACACATAGCGATTTATTCGGAAGCGCGCGGAAGAACAGTCCAGTCTCATCACCGTTCGCTATGTTTTCAGGTTCATATCCCTCGATTATGGATGGCAATATATCCGATGTCTTTTGCGAGAACTCTCCAACAATCCGTTAGATAAGTAGTTACTATAGGATTCTGACGATGGTGTATAACACACTGATATGTTGGGTTTTTGGACTTTGTTATCTTAAAAACCAGGACGATGGACAAAGTCCAAAAACCCATCATATCAAATCCGTTAGATGCTTTGAATTCAGTCTTCCCCAGTTTTTCAGCGACTTTTTAGCATATTCCTGTACCATAGGCCCCGACAACCAGTGATTTTTCGCCTTCACACTGACAAACCACTCCTACACTATTTTATTAACGTCTTCGTTTGTAGTTTTCTTAAGTTCTCTTTTTATTTTTCCCTTAGCACAAGTTTTCTACCGCTTCAAAATTTCCGTTTTCTTCTTTAGAATCTCATACACTTGAGTTTTACCGACGTTAAACATCATGATCTGCTTAACAGACAATTTATCTCGCTCACTCGCATGAATCAATTTTAATCCTGCGTTAAGATCGTTAAGATCAAGCACAACTCTTGTCTTTGTAGCCATGATGACAACTGCTAGACTAAAGTAAAACTGTAGGCCTAGAGCCCTTACGGAATACAATTTCCACAAGGGGAAAACAATTCTGCTGAATCTGAGTGCAGGTAGTGCAGCACCGTTAGAAGACCATTTTAAAGAGTTAGGGAAAACAAAATTCTGTAGAATGTATAGAATACCTAAAATTATTCTAGACGATGCATTCCGGAAGACTGGAAATTTTCCGTATAAAGGCTTATTTTGATTTCCGTTGTCCGTGTTAGACAGTTTCCGTTTAATCCGGTTTATTTAACATTTTTTCAGCCCCAAGGTACCTGAAAATTTTTCCGTATAAGACAGATTTCCGTTTAAGGCAGGTTTTACTGTATTTTTCTTTTATTGCTAGTGTACTGCGGCCACTTCTGGACTATTGTACCAGCCTCACATGATAGGTGAGGATGATTGTGGAGCAATTGGTGGAATGAAATAACACAAAATGAACTTAACTTATCCTGAGCAGATAAATCTAGTCCACATCCGGATCCTATTTAAAATAAACTAATTTTTCAGTATATTCCCAACTATGCCTAGGTGTTACAAATGATCTTTTTCATCCTTAGGTTTCTGATTTAGATTAATGTAAGTCCACATGCATGTTGCACGCCCCTCTCATCTGATCCTACACAATTTCATCTGCCTAATGACATTTTGGGAAAGAGTATCAATTTGCCAGTACCCATAATTTTTTTAACAGTCAACATTATTGAACCACGCTATTTGCCTGGGTGATTGTCATTGTTGGATTTTCCGGTTACAATTGGTTAAGATTGCTTAGAGAAATTTCGTCTGTTCCGACAGCGTGAGAAATATGGTAAACGGCAATTCCTGACATGGCCTACCTCGTCTCGGAAATTCAAGTTTGACAGCTTTAGACATTGGATTTACAGTTCACTCTGTGGTCATTTTTGTATACCAATGCAAGGGCCAATCATATTGCAGAAAAGTTATGCGTATATGCTACGGGCGCTACGGGTATCGGTCCACAACAGATTATGCGACTCTTGCATGGAATGGTGGATAGTGTGAAAGGAAGTGAGCGTGCATAGCGGCGTAATTTCGAAATATGTGGTAATATGTAATCGTTTTATGAAGCAATTACAAAGCAGAATATGTGATTTTCTTTCGTAATGTAAGGCATAGGTAATGATAACCAATAGTTTCATCAACAAGCTCAAGGCTTCCAAAAGCTCAAGAGACTTGGAGGACATAAGGGAAGGCGAGGGAGATATCAAACCCAGTCTTTTTGAAAAGGGGGAAGGAGAAAAGGAAAAGCTAACGAACAGTTCAGGCGATGGTGTAAGTCTCCGAACACCCCTGCCCACAATTGTGATTTGTCAACGAGAGAAGCCTGATAATAGGTTTAAGTCACGCCCTCCTGTAAGACATGAATTTCGAATGGCTCGAGGAGGCCCCATGGATAGGAGAGGTTCGAGTGTTCGGAGCAGAGGATGTGGTATGTCGAGAAAGGTGGAAAGAGAGGGCGAGCCAAATCCATTATCACGTGGTAAATTTCAAGAATCGTTGAACAAAGGCAACTCTGATATTCCTGTTTCATCATCATCAAAATACTACAGTGATACTGAACGTAGCAAGGGCAGAATGGGTATGTTATTTGGTTTATAAATCGGTTACATGTTGAGTCTGATTAAAAATTTGATCGGTATGGTGCTCAGCACAAGCAGTTTTGTTACAGAGTGTGGGTATGTTGTTCCTGAAGATTCCAGGATTTCTAAACTTCTGCGACGCTTATGTAGAGAAGATGATTCCATGAAATTCTTAATCCTTTGCAAACAGTTGCAGGTAGGTAGCTATTTAATGTGTATCCTAATACCTTATTCAGTGTAATTAATATACATTTCACTTTAATTAATTAATGTTGGATGTATTGGTTAAAGCGCAAAATATGATAGAAGACCCCTAACTCTATGTACTGTATTGATTTTTGGCACTAGCTAATTGTTGTGACATGATTGATTTTGAATTTGCTGCATTAGGTTAAATTATAAGTTTCATTTTGTTAACTTAGTAAGGCTTAATATAATATAAGGAATGAGCAGTGTAAATTTAAGCTTATATTATTTTCCTCATTCCAAATCTCGTCATTACTTAAAATAGCTACACTACAGCTAAAAACAGAACTCATTTTTGAGTCCATTATTTATGTATGTGCAGTATCTCTTTCTTCATTGAAAAGTACATAAAATGTAGTAGTGTTTATTGATATTTGGATTAGTTATTTCTCTCTCAGTAACCATTTATGACCTTGGATGTTAGTTCATTTTCCACTTGTGTATCAGACCATAATGCCTCGGCTTAGTCACTGCACTGTCCACTTTTCTTGCCTTCTATCTTGTTTCTGCACAGAAGGCACCCACTTCTCCATACCGGCTTACACATCCCTACTATGCCTGCACAATACTCAGCTGTCCCTATGATGCTTTGTGGCTATTGTTGAATACCTGGTACAACTTTGAAAATGTTCTGTTGCCTATGCAAGCAGTGTGGTAGTGGCCACAGAGATCTGTATGTTTTGGGGTCATTATTTTTTATATATAATATGACATGTGATCCATTGAAAATGAACATTCTTTAACTCTTAAGTGGTCAGTTCTTCGTATGCTTTATTCCGTAATCATACATGGATAGATGGAAACACTTGTATGATACTGTAATTGTGCTTTCCTTATAAAACAAAAAATAGACTAAAAATTTCATGTGGGAATAGGATTGGATATTTGAATAGTACAATGAATAAAACCAGTACAGTCCATGTTATGTGAAAGTTGAATTAATTTAATTGATTTTGTCTTTAAGTAGCCAAAATGGCCTTAAAATTATTTGGAACTTAAATTGTTTTATTGAGATGCATTAGAAGTTTTAGAATAAAGAAGGAAGAAGTGTATCTGCCAGGTCTCTAAATAGTGGTCCATGCAGTGACTGACAGTAGAATCTGTTGGCAACACTGTAAATGCAGAACTGTATGTAAACAGCAATTAATAGTCAAATTCATTAATATAATTATATTAGTTATTAAAAGAAAATTTAATCTTTTTCCTTGGGAAATTTAGGAGTCTCTGATGGTTCCTGAGAATGGACGCTACATTCGGCGATCCTTGGATCTTATAGCTGAATCACTATTAGACACGCTACACAGTGGGCCAGGTTCTGAAGCCAAGTTCCAAGCTGCGAAGTGTTTGGGAAGAGTTGGATATGTTTTGGAGCAAGATTTCAAGAGGTTAGTAGTTTTGTACCCAATTATCATGGGAATGTGTTTCTTTGTAGTTTTGTTAAAATTCATGAGCTGATATTATTCAGTCAGTATTGTGCCTGGCTCCTCAGCTGTTCCCATTTACCTGTTCTGTGTGAAGTGCCAGTTTAATATGGCATCCACAGTTTTCATTATGTTGCCAGTATTTTCTGCGTTCTAATTTTTTTAAGTGAATGAGAAGTTCATGAAGTTGTGACTTGTAGTTGTAATTAGAGTGAAATTCTGATTTAAAGTCCCACATTTAATGAAATCTCAGGCTTAGTGAATAATTTTTATGGTCTGTGACAAAGCCTGTAACAGTGTATTATTTTCTTGAGTTTAATGAATTTAGATTTTTCAGTTAACACCTGTATTTAACACTTCGCGGACTGGTGATTTATATATTTAAATAACCCTGGGGGCCGGCATTTTTAAACATACTACCCTAACTTGTGCACTGTTCACTTTAAAAATTAATATAAAATCTCCTAATTCATTTTTTGAACAAAAATTTTTGGAGAACACTTGCCAGTGCTCCTAGAAGTGCTTGAGGGTGTGATATTTCTGGAAACTTTCCCCTTTGTGAAGTGACATTACACAGAACTTGCAATTGTAGACATACTCCTTTTTTGTGAACTGCAAACACGGCATTGCCTAGAAGTATTCTTCCCCTTGGAATGTTCACTCTTCACAGTTTTCACGAGGGTATTTTTCCGCATATCTCTCAAGAGTCGCCCTGGGAGGTCCACATGAGGCCTTCATGGGGTGGGAAATGATGGGCCCGGTTGTACTAAGTCTTTGTGCGACCCTGGTTCTGCCTCCACCATCTGGACTGTAGCCCAGGCCTTTCCCACATTCATCAGAAATGCTTTGTATTTCAATTTTGAATCAGGGTTTAGATTTTTTTTCAATTTTTTGCTGTCCCCGCAATGTTACTACGCGCAATGTTATTACCCGCATTATCGTCGGAGCTACTGTCACTTTTACTGTCTGTGGCCACAATTCTTTGTTGTCCCCCGTCACTGTTGCTGTCCGAATGACATCCATTACTATGCATCTCACAAGGCAGGTCAGCTAGGTCATCGGAGGAGAATTTGTCCTTGATCCATTCTCCCCACTAGCTACTGGCTGATACACACAGGTTGAAGAAGGCAAAGCATTTTCCTTTATAGTTGGTTAAGTAAACAGCGAGGTCAAGTTGCTGACTGCTAACTAAACATTCCAGAGTCTTATCACGCATCTGCAGGTGGTTGCGTGCAATGTAGGTGGCGCCAGAGCGATGTATAGTGTGTTGCAACTTATCGTGTTCTAAAAGCCTGTTAACACGCGAACGGTCCGCCATGTTTAAAAGCGAAAAACCTTTTAAAGGGTGCGCGGTCCGCAAAGTGTTAATATAAGACATTTCCAGTCTCCCAGAATTTTTTATTTAATGCAGTTGTTTTCAAAACAGCGATTGGCATTCATATTTTTTCCCTTCCAGAAATAACGAACAATTAATTTTACGTTATTGCTTATGTAATTGTATTTGTCTGTACAGAAACAGTTTCTCTAACTTTATTATTTTAGAATAGTTGTGTATAGTAAGTCTTATACTAAGTGAACAGTTTCTCACTGTAATTTTGCAAAACTCCGATTTAGTGAAGATCTCAGTTTAGTGTAAGAAAAATTATTCTCCCAGATTTTCTTCAAATACTGACTTCACTACATGCCCAGCAATTTTTCATGTGAAGAATGTGTTCAAGATAAGTGTTCCTTCTGAAGACAAGTGTGGAATATTGTGATTGGCATAACTGATAATGTGAAATTGATTATTCCCAGTCAGCTCACTTGTTATAGTGACTTCCCGTATTTTAAATATGAGGGAGCATCAGTAAATAGGTCACAAATGGTTATAAAATGTAAATATGTGATATTTGAACCTGGAAAAAAAGACGTTTATTTCTCGAGATATCCCCCACCAACATTGATACAGGCGTCCCATCGGTTTACCAGTGCGTTGAAACCTGCAGCATAGTAGTCTTTAGACCTTGTCTCAGCCACTTCCACACCCCCAGTTCAACCTCTTCATCATCACCGAAATATTTGCCACCAAGGCCAGACTGATTTACATGACAAACATTTCCCACCCTAAGCAGGAAAAATTTCTTTATGAATACCTGTTTCATTGAGTCCTTTTCACACAACAGAACGCTGATCTTTGATAAAATACTCCTCAAGCACAGTCACCATTTTGACTACTGAAACCAGCCTCTGAACATGTTCATGTGCATCTGCTACCTATTCTGTCATGAAACTGGACTATGCAGCTACCTAGTGATATACACAAAAAGTCTATTACGAGTACGTCCATTAAAGCTGTTGTACTTCTGTTGTGATCTGTTTACTGACTCTTCCTCATACCATGTTTCAAAAATGCCAAATGTTCATGTGTGCTAAATCTTATCAAAAAATTGAAGCCAATTTAATTTTGTTAAGCAGGTAGAATTGTACGCTCAGAACTAAATTTTTGGAGATATTTTCTGTTATAGTTTGGATTTGTTGTGAAAGTAATGTGTATATTATGTCTGCTGACTAAAATAATATATTCTATTTCTTCATATTTGCTGGTCCCTGATTTTTGGAGGTGGTACATAGATAGCTCTTTTCTTGAATTGCACCATCAGGCATTTAGAGACGGATCTGTTGAATTATTTATATCTTGGTTACCAGAATTATTTCTGTATTATTTTAATTGCAGATACATGGACTGGGTTTTCTCAAAATATGCTGTTGAGAGAAATGATGAAGTGAGGTTACTTCTGATGAAAGCCATGGCAGAAACATTGAGGTTAGAGGAAGAGGTGCCAAAGTTAGAGGACTTTTCAGTTGTGAGTATTTTTTTAATGAAATTTTGCATGATTTTCTGCATAAGATACATAATAAGTAAATATAGTTTTCCATTACTTTCCAGGATTATTCTCGTGATAGTAACATGTAATATACTTGATTAAATTTGCCATTTTATTGGTTGGCATGAACTGTTAATGTAATTAATTGGCTTAGAAACAAAAAAAAGACTGAGAAGTTAGATAGTTCATTTAGTGTAATGATTAGGCATTTAGAGTCTGTTGGAAGTATTTCAGTAATTCAAATTTTATTTAAAATATGTGTTTATATAATATGCACTGAAATAAAACATGAAATGGTCCTTAATATCTCAGACTTCAGTGTTATAGTGATATCTTGCTAATCATGATTTTATTGCTTAGTGAATGATGCTTTGATTCCTGCTTTACACAGATCTGACTATGAAGGTCTGGTTAGTTTTCCTACAAGGTTTCTTCTCTGAAAACATTTCCCAGTTGTTAACATAGCTTTAACATTATAGGTGTTGAATTGTTGCAGGTCCTGATGACTCAACTGCAGACAGCGTTAGAGAATACAGATCTGCCCGAACTCCTCATGGGAACAGTTGATGTTATCATTTTGTTGACAGAAATTTATCCATCAACATTTACCAAACATTTCAGGGTAAAGTGTTTTAGTAATCTAACTGTAACAGGTCTTTATAAAGCTAGACACTTACCCAAATATTAGGAGGAAAAGGGAAGCTAAAAATATTGGAAATCTGTTGTAATCATTGGTTATATGAGGTTTTTTTTATAGAAATTTGCATTGTGACAGAAGGGATCTTTGAATGTGAGATTTGAGGTTTTTATGGCAAGGAAGATTTAGATTGTGGTAATGATACCCTGAAGAAGGAGTATCATTTATGGTCACACACTGTAGATTGCATGGTATCATAACCTAGATGACCACATTTTATATCTCAAAATAATTCAGTCTTTAAGTCCAGTACTTTTTATCAGTATGATAAAATGATGAATGATAAAATAAAATAAGGTTTGATTTCCTGTTGAAGGGTCAAGGTCATATGCTGTGGTTCATTCTGCATATATTTGAGCAAGGTATTTGCAGTAACCCAAGCATAAAGGGAACCTCATATTATCACAGGCTTGGTTGTAAAATAAGTTGTTATGCCTACATAGTCTTCTGTGCTTATCTGCCAACTGATTATATAATTTGAACATACATACATCTGGTTTTGTTTGCTGAAGCTCTAATCCTCATGATGGAATGGAACTGTAAAATATGAATTGTAAAATTTTCCATACCTGAACGTAGAAAGAACTTCAAAATATTATACCGGAAATGACTGGGTACCACAAGGAAAATTTAAAGTGTTGTGATAACCTGTCATCTGAGATTTGTTTGTGGGTATTTCCTGAATATCAGAACGTTAAGACATGTCTTTTTTTATGCTTAGAAAAATCCCAGACTGAGTTTCATTAGACAGCCAAGACTTCATACATATTGATGATTGTGTTTTACCTATGTTTCATGATCTTTATTGTGTTTCATTACAGGATACAGTGGATATTTTGGTTGGGTGGCACATAGATGGAAGTCAAGCCATTACTGTGACGCAGTACGCATCACGCAGTCTGCAGAAACTGAATCGCTATTGGATAGCAGACCTGCAGTTCTCACTCACTTTGTTAGGACAGTTCCTTGAAGACATGGAGGCATATGGAGAAGATCTTGTGTTCCCCACGTCAGGGCGTTCATCCCCTGCTGAGGATCCTCCTCCAACACCAGAAGATTGCATTTTACGAATTACTTCTCTGATAAGGTAAAAATATCTCAGACTTCAATATATTTGAATCATTTATAGTGACCTTGATAGATACTGTATTTACTTTGAATGAAGACAGGTTTCATCTTCTAGTTTCAGAATCTAATCATCAACCTAGAGGCAGCAGTGTATCATGTTGTACTGTTGCACAGCAGAAACTTCTTTCTCAGAAAATGCAATCAAAATGTTGCTGAATGCTTCACACTGGTTTCTTGCATGTGAATACTTCGGCCTTGAAAATGGAGATGACATATTCATCTGAAATGTGAAGGATTCAGAAACTTTTTTCTTAGTACATAAAATGGATTTCTCATTTGAAAAATCAGCATTTCTTCTTGCTGTCAGAAGATTATCAGAGACTGTTCCTGCATACAGAGCCACTAGTTCATAATGACAGGCCCGTCCCATTGAAGTTTATGTACTCGTAATGTATTTCATTATTCCAGTGATGTTATGTTATTGGTCAAGCTGGTCAAGTATCACATTTGTGATCACTTTGTCCCCAAAGTAAAATGTAGCTTCCAGCTCTGTAGTACATTGAGATATAATGATAGAGATCTTATCCGGAGTTAAAATTTGGCCACCAGCCTCATAGTACTGGGAGATTTAAGATTCCTTCTTGCCACAAATTATGGGATAAGGACTTTTCATGGTCCTTTTATGGTTCTTTTAGTTTACATGTGTCCCTGTGCGTAACTAATTAAACACTACACCATGAAGGTGTATGGGGGAGTGGATGTGTAGATTCACATTTTCTTGACCTCGGCACTAGCTGGAGGTATGTGGTCAGCTTCAGTGGTTATAGGATTTTTAAACTGACTAATCCTTCCATCCCCACTATGGCCCTCTCAGCCTCTAACAGAAATGAGTACCAGGAATCTTCCTGGGTGTAAAGGGTGGCTGGCGCGTAAGACTGGCCTCACCACCATCTGTGAGCCAGGTGTCTAGAAAATGTGGGAGCTTCGACATCTCACAACCCAGTGGACCTCCACAGCCAGTTACAAGGATAGCTTTTAGCTTAACTTGTGTATTGTGCACCGACTGATTAAAACTTTCATTTTTAATAGGAATACTATAAAGGTCATTTGTGAGTTAATGTTTGTTGTTTATGTTGTTGTCATTGTCACTCCTGCTGCTGCTGCTGTGTGTGTTACTGTCATCATTTATCATTATGATTATTATTACTGATTGATTGCGCATACGGGTACTTGATGAATTAGTTACATGAAAAGGTTCCCATACCCGATGTGAATGTTATGTGCAAATCACTGCTTTGAAATGGTGCTCTTGGTATCATCTGTATAGTTAACTTTTTGTGGCTATAGTGACATTTATCCATTGTTAAGTTGAATTTAGATTTGTGCATGAACGAAATAATTGTAAGAAAACAGTGTCATTATTTAACTGGAATCATTTGCATTCCTCGCTGTTCTCTTCCAGTTTTGTGCAATGCAGAATTTGATTTTCATCACACATATTGACATGTCCTTTTTTTTTTTTTTTTTTTAATGTAGAGTGTTCAACACAGTTACAAGAAGTCTGGGATGCCATTTAAATCCAACAGTGTCACCAACAGTTTCCTGGACGTTCATAACAGACTGTTTTGCAAAGATGTTGCGTACTGTGGTCAAAGCTCTGGATGTCTGTATGGATGAGGATTTAATAGTTACAGGTATGTGTGGTAAACAAAGCTAGGTCTTCTATGGAATATACTCACATAGTTACCTGCTGTTTATTGTGCCACAAGAATATATGGAGTATAAAGGAAATTGAAATTTATTTAAAATATACGTGGTACAGTCGTTAAGTTCGTGGACTGTGGTTTCATTGCATCATATTACAAGGTATTCACATACATTTACACAGATGATCCACATCGGCCCTCAAAATAGTTGCCGTTGGCCGCTATACAAAACTGCCAACTTTGATATAGCTGCCGAAAACATTGCTGAAACATATTGGCGGGAAATTCCCGTACGGCGTCTCTTGTGGCATTGGCAACCTCCTTGGACGACTGAAATCTACGACCACATAGCTTTGCTTTCAAGCGGTGAAAGAGAAAGAAATCGCATGGTGCGAGATCAGGTGAGTACGGAGGGTGTGGCAAAATGGTGACCTGTTGCCTTGCCTATTCCTCTTGGACAAGAACAGAGCGATATGCAGGGGCATTGTCGTGTAGCAACAGCCAATTTGTAATGTTAAGGGGGATTTGCCTAATTTTTGGCAGAACTTGATGTTTGTCCATTGTTCAAACTGCCACATTTTCGATTTCTGCCACTCGCATTTAACTGCAGTTCACAATAGAGGCTACAGTTCTGCTTACACTGTTCACACACAACTGCTTCTTGCTGTGATGAGAGATGAATTGATATGGCATCATATCATGCCTCAACCTATCCGCTGTAATACACTGCAATGACACTTTGTGGCCAGTCCACGAACTTATTGACTATGGTAGTATGTATACTATATAGGTATATCTTGTAGATTGAAATCTTTAGTTTTCAATATGACTATTTCTTGCATTCAGGCTTACATTTTATGGAACCCTACTGCAGTATGCTAGTTTGCATTTCCTACAGCTACTGTTCTCATATAGTGACCAGCTACAGGCTGGACAGTACAAGTCTCGGTAGTGGTAAGATTTTACTCCTCTTGACAATGTCCAGACCTGTTCTGGGGCCCACCTAGCCTCCTTTCTAATGGGTACTGAGGGCTCTTTACCCAGGAGTAAGGTGGCTGGGGCGTGAAGCTGACCACTCACCTCCAACAAGTGCTGAGGTCAAGAATACGTGGATCTATACATTCAGCCCCCATGTGTCTTCACAGTGTAGTGCTTAATTAGTTAAGCACAGGGACAACTTTACCTTTTTTTTTACAGCTACCGTCCTCCATCATTTAGTATGCAAATCAGCCAGCCACCCAGAAAAAACATTAGTAAAGAATCTTTATACCAGAAAATCTGTTTTCATTTATAAATTTTGAATCTCCCCAAACTACAGTTCTAAGAGATTCCATTCAGCTATCCATCCAAACAAGTCTTTGCACTTGAAAATTATACAGGCAAGAAATTTTAATTTAATTGTAACACAATTCTCAAAATTTTCCTCCTGCGTTTCCTGAAGCCATAGTTTTTCTTCATGTACTATGAGATAGATGGCAGGGATTCATTTTTCAGAAGGGACAGATTTTTCAGTTGCCACGGTATTCACACCAGCTCTGGTGCTAACCCCTCCTCCTGTACAGTGGATACTGGTTGGATCCTTTCGCAGGGGCAAAGTGACCAGGGAATGGAACTGATTACCCACTACCACCTAGAGCTTGTACTAAGAATACATAGAACTGACCTCATCTTCACTATGTGTCTTCATGGCATTTCTTAACCAAAGATGGATGTTCAGCCATTTTAGAATTTGAACCAATTAAGCTCCCCTCCCTATGAACCTTAAAGAATATTTATGCTTGAAAATACTGTATATGTAAAAGAAGTTTCAGGCCATGTGTCTAATACTATATAGTTGATTACACTGCATTACAGAGATTGGATGACAGTGATATGACCTCCTTTCTTGACTTGTAGGACTTAACGTTTACTCAGCTTGGTGACTGGTATTTTTTTTTTTTTTTTTTNTGAATGCACTTGCTTGCTGCTGCAGCACTTGCAGTCAAAGACTTCAGCAGCCAATGAGATACTGTATGGACTGATAGATTCACAACTTGCACTAGTGTCACAGCTTGCAGACTTCACCATAATCTCCATGCTCAAGATGATTGCAAAGGTTGGTTGAATGTTTAGAGTATTGGTCTGTTGTACCAACCCAGTTGATAAATGATGATGATGATGAAAGTTTCCTTTTCACAGCCATGATGCAAAATACAGTATTTTCATTTCACTCAAGTCTTTCTCAAGTTTCATAACATAATTTTGTTGATTAGTTATCCAAATCTATGACTTCCCATTGTAATTACATTGGAGAAAAGTAGAACTGTCTGTTGACAAAAACTTCAGGCTGGTAGTTCAGAATATAGCCAGAAGATGTTAGTTAGTTAGTTATTGGAGAGGGTGGGTTTCCCCATGCACTGAGACCTGTATTGGTCCATTGTGCTTCCCTTTATGATTTCTAACAGTCTCTATATCCTATCAATACTGGTGCTTACCATCAGTCCCGCCCAGCCAGCGAGACCGGCTCTACTAGCTGAGAGGTATCTATAATGCTTCCCCCGTCTACCAGAGGTATTAGAGACTGCTGTTGGGCGGGAAACGTCCGTTAATTTGGCTCAGTGACCTCCTTTGGAGATATGAGGTTCTTTTAGGTGCCGTAAAGCTACGACACGGGACCCACGGCTTAAAGTCCCTCCCGGAGGACTTGTTCCCTGAATTTTTCCGCCCTTAAAAATTCGATGACCTCCGCCGGGTATTTGAACCCGCGTACTACGAGTCATGAGGTGGGAACGTTACCTCTAGACTACGGAGGCCGCTGCCAGAAGATGTTTCACTGGGTTAACTTCTCAGGCTGAGGGGCTGTGCACACGTAAGAACCTGACCAGTAAGCATGTAATATTGTTTCCTGTGCATCCATACAGAGCACTGCATGCTTATATGTAGTCATTAATACTTCCTCCTTTTCCTTTTTGTTCAAGGACTAATTTAATTGTCTCTGTTCAGTTGACCTACTGTCATAGTGCCATCATTTTTAACTTTTTTTATGTACTTCATTCATTCATTCATTCATATATTGTGTATTCCATAAATGCATATACATAGATATAGAACTAGTAACATAGTTAATATAGTACAATACAATTATAAATATATATGTACAGCTTATAATCATTATAATAGATAAAAAAACATGTGTTAAATTTACAGTCTTACATCACTATACATAAAATTATGCAATATTAAAATTGTTTATGTTATTATCCTTATTTCTAGGCAAATTTGTTACTAAAGAATTCATCACATGTATAAAAAGAGTTTTGCAATAAAAATGTTGTCAACTGAATTTTAAAATTTTTCAAGTTATTAGACAGATTTGATTTTTGGTGGCAAATGATTAAAGATCTTTACCCCCATGTAACATATTCCTTTTTGGAATTGTGTTAGTCTAGTTTGCGGATAATGCAGATCACAGATAGATCTGGTATTACAGTTATGTATGCATTTGTGAGTTGAATGTGAATTTCTTATTTACTATAACAAACAGGGAAATCGACAATATATGTTGAGCTTGTAGGGGGAGGATATCCAATTCTTGAAACAAACTACGACATGATGTTCTCTTTGTTGTATTTGTTATAATCCTAATTATCCTTTTCTGCATCCTAAACACTTTCATACTATATGGGGAGTTACCCCAGAATATTAATCCATACGTTATTATTGAATGTACATAGGAAAAATACATCATTTTTAATGTCTCCAGTGGTAAAAAGGATTTAACTGATCGGATTGCAAAACAGGATCTGTTTAACTTATCAATTACTGCATCAATATGACTCCCACGAAAAAAAAATCAATTTTTAACCCCAGAAACGATGTATTAGAAATACTTGGAATTTGATTGTTTAAATAACTAACTTGAACGTTTAAGTTTTTACTGTTTTTAGTTCTAAAGTGTAGAAAATAAGTTTTTTCATAATTTATTACTAGCTCATTTTTCCTAAACCATTCATTTAGCATCTCAAATAATTTATTTATTCTAATTTTAAAATTCGCAGGATTCTTATCAAAGATAAGGATACTTGTATCGTCTGCAAATAATATTGGTTTGGATAGGTCAGATATAATTTTTGGTAAGTCATTTATATACAGTAGAACTTGGTTATAACGTCATCAAAGGGACCTAAAAATAGTGTCGTTATAAACGAATGTCGTTGTAACCGAAATGGGCACTTCCACAGTAGCCTTATGTTAGTCACGTAAAAATCTACCAAAAACCGAGTTAAAATGTTGCATTTTTTAGTGAAATACGTAGTTAAGTACAGACTAACGTAACATTAACGTGGAATTGCCCAAATGTGTAATATCAAA